ACAATTAACTCTCTTTTGGAGCATGAAATAGTGGAAAAACAGAGAGCCCGTCGAGGTGTCAAATTGATGGCTTATGCTCTCTTCTCCTGAACAATCTTGACGAACCGACTAGTCTTCCAATAACAACCAAAACCCATCGTCCTTTTCCATCAATTTGAAAAGAAAAATGAGCGAATTTTGCGGGGCATTCAGAGAGGCACCATCTCCAGAGATGGGTAGTTTAATTAACACGTTTTCCTGTTTTTTGATGGGTAGAGATGCGGGAAGAAGTAAGGGGCGAAGAGCCATGCCCTGGTGTGAAGAAAAAAGGATTATGTCGGCGCCCCATCTCATCAGTCCCGTATTACGCCATCGAGACAGATAATCGTACACCGATTCACCTGCAGCAAGCGGAAGCTCGTGCTGGCATAACACGGCTGGACAACCAAAACCGATTGAACCAGACTTTACTCTTTTAGTCGACGCTAATTCGCTTAGAAGCTGACGATGACACTGGCATACCAATTACGAATTACGTGTGTCGTATCCAGAGATGTGCTCCCTACTCTACCAGTCATAAGTGGGCTCTTCAACATCTCTTTCCATCATCACCGGGCGCCTCTTTATTCAATAAATTGTTGTGTTCTAGTAGTAGAAGAAGCCATCATCGAAAACAACACATCGAAACTTGTGGGAATTTTCGCATGCGCGAAGACAGAAGACAACGGAGGCCACCCTAAATGCAAACAACACGAGGATAGAGTTACGGGCTAAAACGCTGGATTCAGATTACACATAGCCGTCGAAGGCTCATGACCACATGAATAATTGAACCTTTGGAACGCTTTTGATGGCCGTTCGCATTCAAAAAATGAATGATAGATTATAGCTCGGGAGATATTATGCCGCCAAAAAAGATAATAGCCGAATGGAAGCGAGCCGACCGTTTTATGTTCCTTTCTCCTTTGTTTCAAGAATGACAATTGACGCCAGCCTGTCCACATCATATTAGTTACTTCTCGCTTTCTTGTCTATTCATTCCATCGTAGGCTGGGATGCGTTGGGGCAGGAACCCGCCAAAAAGGATGATGACAGATAACCATCTCGGGTCCTTTTCCATATATAGATAAACACAACCCTGACCGCTTAGCGGTTGTGTAATTTTCTGTTTCTTGTTGCCACCGCATCCATCAGCGTAGTAATCCGTGAAACCGGCATATGGCAACTTTCAACACCTCCTACTGCGAAAATTACTGTCATGTTTCTTTTTTTCCCGCTAAAAAGAGCATCGCATCACCCAAATCTGCCGCAACATCTAATTGTACGCATACTGAATGTTTTGCACAAGCTGTCTTTCGTACCCTATCTTTCTTTACTCGCTCTAATTGACTTAATTTGGATCTTGACTGGGGAAACAAGAAGCAGGAAGACGCGTCTTCAGTGTGTTTACTAAAAGTATCGGTGATCACCACTCGGAGAGCTCTGATGGTCTTCTGATGAGTAGTCTGTCGGCAACATCAGAACCCCAAAAAGTTCGTCTGTTTACCTATGAGATTAGCGAACATATCAATCAGTTTGACTACTTCAGTTTCCATGTTGTGACAACGCCGACATAAAAAACAGTTATAAGTGGATGTGCTCGAAAACTATTACTATAATATCTGTGTTTCTAAATAAATGGGTTTGTTAGCAGAAGAACAAATTAACTCGAGGACATACGAATGAAACCAAATGCGCGGGATTTAGAACAATGCGGGTATTGTGTGCGCCTAATTTGTTGTGCATCCCTACAACATTATGGCTGCAACAATGTCATTTATACCTTCCCACCCATGATCTTGGTTTCATTCGAACATTTCCTGGATGAGAGAAGCTAACGATCATTAGAAGAGGGCGATAACAAGGACAGGTGGCAACAATGATCCACAGGTGCCCTGGGCCACAACACTAAACAACACCTTAATCCGGTCACCAGAACCTTGATGAGGACGATGATGACTTCAATAACAAAGATTCAAATGAAATAAGTAGGGAGAGGAAGAGATGCTTTTCTATTCTAGGTTAGCTTCGTCCCAAATGCAAACAAAACCGTCAAGCGGAAAGAAACTTCCATTTCGGAATTTGAGGAAAACTCAAAAACGTAGGCCTGCCCCTCTCCTGCTACCCTATTTCTCTCTCGACACCTTTCCTAATCCCATCTCGTCTGGAAAAATATACATTCGAGGATGAGATGTGTCTTCTTCCAAACAAACAAATAGACTAGGAATAACTTCGTTCAATGAGGAGAGCGGGTTAGTGCGAGTGAGAATGACCGTTACGTCTCACCGGGTGGTCCACACAGAAATGTGCACTTCCGGACCGCTAGGATAACATTACGCAACAAAGGCCACATCTACCGATGTGTTCGCCCCCCGACAACCGCACACGATTAACACTTTTGTGGTAGGCGTCTATACAGGAAGTCGGCTCGATCAGAAATAAGAAAAGGTCCGGGATGTTTCCGTTCCCCTGGGAGTAGGAAGAAGACGTGTCGGCGATGCATAATTAACAAAATGACATGATCTTCGAAGTCGGAAACCAGAGAATAAGCGTCGTTAACTAGGCGCATCGTTAACTAATCGGCGATGATCTCAAGTGTGAACAGCCCTAGAAAAAAGTGAATGTTCCTAAACCTCAGACACATTCTCACTTTTTCCTACTTTCAGAGAAAGTTTTCCGAAGATTTAAAAAGCAAACCCACAAGAAAGTGATCAGAATGATCGACTTCTTTAAAAATGGGATTTTTTTAATTTTTCGAAGAGATGAAATACTTACCGTTCTCATCAGTAGTCGGTTTGTTGCTGGCAAAAGTTGTGCTGAATGTCAGAAGACTCGTTGCCAACAATGCCAGAAGCAGCGAATATCGTGTCGATTTGTGGCGTCGCATCAGTGCATGCTATTGTGTTCGTCTAGTGTTAGAGTTTCCTGGAAAAAGTGTTTATTAATACGGGAATACATGAATTGATAAAAAACCAGTAAGAGATAAAGAGCAATGGCGAACCAACAGAAAGCTGCTGAACAGGAGAGGGAGGGAAGATTGGAGGAGGCGACGAGAACGACGCGCGGGGGCCACCGACCGAGGGGGAGGGGTTGCAAAAAAGTGGGCGGGGCTTGGGGTGGGAGAGTCGAGCCTAGGCACGTGCGGTACCATCTGGGATCTAATGACGTGGGAACGAGAAAGGTATCAGCGAATAGTTGTCACCTTTGACATTCGTGGAAAATGTTCTTCAGGGAAACACCTAGACAAAAGATCTGTGAGATTCTCTAGTGAGGGGATAAAAGCAATACTGTCCAAAGAGGAAAGGACCGAAATAAATTTAAGGGAAAATGAGAAAAAAATCGGAAACTGGCAAATTGGATAGAAATGTGATTCTTCTCTAAATTTAAAATACTTCGGTTCAGGAGGAACAGTACTATTCGAAACTAGGAAAGTTACATACGCCTACAGTAAGCAGGATGAGCTAAAACTAGAAAAAAAGAAATTTCGAGAATTTCGCTCATGTAAAAACGAACACATTTCGCATGTGCCCTACGCGATGTTTTGAGAACAAACAATAGAAAAATTGGAAGGTCACTCTTCCCGACAAGCCATGATCATTTTTAAAATTTCGAGAAACAAATGGAATCCGAAATGATGATTCATCGAAAAATGTGCCAATTTTATCTGCCATCTTGTGACTGTTTTCCATCAAAATTTCCGTTGATACATTTGAACGGAAATCATTCAAAACAACCATGTTCAATTTTTTTTTTGAATTTCATAAGAGCGCAAAACGGTCCGGAATGATTCACCGGGTTTTACAGAAAATTGAGTCAGTGTGCAGTTGATGTCATAAAGGCTGAATTGAAGAAGGGGAATGGAGAAACGAAGAAGAAGAAGAGGAGAACAAAGATGATAACTTTGTTTGCTTTTGGAAATGGACACTTAGGTGGAGGTATTCAGGGGAGGCAAGGAAAAAAAAGAAAGTAACAGTATATGTACCTAGTTCAGTTGCTAAGAAAGAAACAATGGACACTGACGCTTAGACAAAATTAATTAGTAGATTAATGTCAGATTTGGGTGGTTGTAAAACACTAAAACGGCGGGAAGGGATCAGCAAGATAAATTGGCACCCAAATCGCATCTGCAGCTCACACCAGAGAGACAACGGTGGTGTCGCCAATCGTGATAGGTTGAGAAAACGAGGTGCTGAGCAATTATACTGTTCGATGACCGCGATTCGAATAGGTTATCAAGGTGTACGATCTATATTGCACGATTCACACTCATTACATTTTCACATAACGTTTGAATTAGAATTGAACAATGAACTCTTCCTAAGGGCAACATAGACAGTTCTTCTTCGCGAGCAGTCTGCTAGTTAGGTCGTAAACCTGGGGAAAAGATTAGTGAGTGACGGAAATGGGTTAAAGGACTACCGTCTGCTGTCAAATTGGCTGGGAAACCGATCTCCATAAAGAGTTATAGATTAACGACTGAGCAGATCAAGATGACACTTGGGAATGTGACTGAGTACCATTAGGAGATGCCATTGCCACTTCCGGTTGTAGAATCATGAATAGTACAGTCATAACTATAATCTTATAAGTCATTACATTTTATAGAGCGTATAGTACCAAATGTGAGGGGAAGGACTTTCTAGAACCAAACAGCTACCTAACAAAAAATTTGAAAAAAAAACGGTCTGTAACCAGCTCCCTTTAAAGCGAATTCTCGAGAGAAAAAGTTTTTTTCTTCGATTTCTTGCACAATTTTTAGACCTTTTTAGGTTTTCCAGCTATTTCTGATAATTTTTTTTTGACTTTTTCGAATTTTTTATCTGAAATTTGAAATGGTGGTTTTCGTGACGAAGATTACTGTAGAAAACTTTATTTTTTTGTAGTTTTTTCTGCAAACATAATGACGTTAAAATGAAGAAAAATACTCGAAAAAATCGCTAATAATTTTTCGGAGTTTTCAGTGGAATTTTAAAAGAGATTCGAAAACATTCCAGAAGTTTGCAGGTCTCGAGCGGAATTACGTTTGAATTCTCGGTCGAAATCTGTTTGTCAATTTTTCACCAACTTTCACGCGCTTTTGTGATGGGAGAGCGGAATTCCGAAATTCCGAAAATTTGAAATTTTGGACATTCCGAACATCCCTGGTCAGTAACATAAACGGTTCTTATACAGTTGTGCAAAATCAGTGAATCTGTAGGATCAAATAAATCGATTATAGTAGTGTTCCAATGTTCAAAAGACGTATATACTCATCCTCGAACACTTCACAACCATAATGTAGAGAATGCGTAAATCACTTGTCTCCTCTCATTTTTTGCCCCTGGCAAATGCTCAGAAAAGTGATAGATAGATAGAAACGGAGTTCAAAAGTAAACGCAAAGAGGAATAAGCAGTGAAAATTCAAACTGACGACGAAAGAAGGTACTTATTGCATAGTCAACCGTGGGATATCTACTGTCGGCTGAGGGTAAAAAAGAAAGAAAATGGGACACGCCCTGCTTCGTACGGCAATAAAACTGACCACCTTGAACATGGCAGAAAATAAGAGGGGGAGCGAAGCCATGTTTTACGACAATTTTCCGGATGCAGACAAGGTGAGCTTTAGAGTGGAGCTGTGGAGGCCGCCATAGCAGGAAACGCCGCCGTTTCTCGAAGAGATTTTAACGATCTCGTGTGCTGAATTCATTGACTTGGAAAGATCTCGCGTTGACCGTGTGGTGGACTTCGATGAACAATTGTCACATTTCATCAGATATGAATTTACTGTTTGCACTTTAAAGCCAAGCAAGGGACAGTAGAAAACTGAATTTATGCATGTATAAGCTAAATGTGTGGTCCGAAAAAAAGACCAGTAGCGTTTCTGGAAGAAACGCGAGAGATACAAGTCCATGAAGAGTTAGTTGTTGGGGGCACTGAACCCGAAAAAAACAGAAGGGACAGAAGAACCACACAAAATGGGCTTATGAGTTGGTCAACGGAAAATAACTCTTTCTGAATTGCATAACGAGAAAAGTAGTCGACTTTTTAACTCTATGGGAAAGTGACTCTGTGCAGAAAAAAAAGACGCACATCAGATTAGGAAGGAATAGGCGATAAGACGTATGGGTACCGGAAGCTCCTAAACTCGTCACGGAATAGATTCGATCAACCGGAATAAAAGAACAGAAAGAAAGAAAGAGAAAAACTCTAAATCGGCAGTTTGTCATAAATCAACAGTGCCAGTTAGATCAAAAAGATGGACTGGGGTAGAAAATAAGTCCTGGGCAATCTAGACGACTATACGGAATTCTGAGTGGAAAATTCTAAATTTATAATCAAAACTCGATGAAGAGTTCTCACGCTTTCTGGGTGGCAAAGGAGGGAAGGTGTTCGAAACCGAGGCTCAGAAATAATTCATGCTCTTCCGCCTCTTTTCCATCATTCCAGTTTACTACAATTTTACGATTTCCGTCGGCATCGTCTTCTCTTCTTTTTTCTTTTCAGATGAGTTAGTTGAGCTCTCTGATTAGATTCTTTTTGCGTGTTGTTGTGTTTCGAAGAATACGCCACACACGCTCTCGGAGCTCCGGGAGCCAACTTCCTGGGAACAAGAGGGGAAATAGTTCAGATGATAAATCGGCATCTTTGGTGCCATTTTAAAGCCGCGGAAATTCAATTTCGGAACTACACACACTCAACAAAAAGAGGAAGAAGAAAAACGAAAAAAGAAAGAAAAAGGTTTTGGTAGATGAACGCGTCGCTTGGAGAACGAAAGTCTCTAGGAATTGAATGACAGACAGAAAAAGGAAAAATAAGGAAAATGCGGGATTTGTTATTAATCGGTGCAGTCGAGAGTATAGATATCATCCCGAAGAGGGGACCCTCTTCAGTGTGAAGACACGCTAATTGCATTACGCTTTCTAAAGTGCTAGGCGGGAGTGTTACCTTCCAGCCGACTTCTCCTGATGGGGAGCTCATCTTGGACAAATGGAACGGATGTGTAGAGTACTTTTGCTAATCGGTGAGAGGTTCGAAACGAACATTTGAAATTATTTTAATTGTTTTATTTCCCAAGAACTAGTGGAACAAGAGCAAAAAGGGAGATGCTCAAACATTCAACTTAGTCGAAAATCAGCTTTATGAGAGAGGGAGAAAAAAGACGGATGAGGAATATAACGGATCCAGAAGAAAAACTACTGTGTGCTCATCCGGAAAATGTGACACCGACGAATAAAATAAAAAGAAGGCAATGTTTAGAAAAAGGAATCGAATAATATGTCCTTTCGGGATTGATACGAAGGTGAACTGGATGAATGAATACAAATGTGGCAAAAGAGAAGGAAGACGGAAAGGAGAGAAGCAAAGCAACAAATCTTCTTTTTTCTTACAAACTTTTGAATAATTTATGAAGAAATCTATTTCACAAAGGCGCCAAATACATGGGATTCTCGAGTATTCTTGTATAATCGGTGAAAAACTGAGAAGTATAACTATGTGATGAATAAACTTGACACGAAAAAAGAACGAGGAGCTGAGATAGAGAAGGATTTGCGTGGTAAAGTATCATCATCATGCAGATGAGTGTGGAGGAACGGCGTGAAACGCATCGCCCGGCTGCAGCAATACAGCTCTTCTTCATCCGCGGCACCCGCCAGATGTTCTCGAAAGAAAAAAACGAATATAATATTATATTAAACTTCATAACACGGATACCGTAAAACCTCTAATAGAACGACACC